CCGACCGACGTTCTCCCTCAGTCGCTCGGATCCAGCGGGTGAGTGGGGACCGTGAGAAGCCGTCATAGTTAAGAAAAAGCGAGGACAGGGCTCCGCCGCGCGTGGACAGGCTGCAATTTAGGCCTTTTCCTTCCTCCTTTGATTTGCCTTCCTACACTTCTTCTGACAGTCGTTCTCGGCGGCCGGAGCCGCCTTTGATGTCGGTGATGAAATGCGAGCTGATGGCGATTGTGTTGCTGTACATTGTGTTCGAATTGACTGAGAATCATACTAAAGAATTCCTATGGCGCCCACCACTCGAAGAGCGCGCGCGCGTCAACAGAAGAAGAATTGTCGACGTATTCGTCGTCGACGACGACATCACCGACACGACCGACCGACCGGTCGCCCACGCTCTCTCTAAAGACGACATGATCAGTCGTTTCTTGTTCGGCGTCGTTCCCGCGCTCGACGTCGTCGAGTCTTCAGTGCTTTCTTCTGTGATCCCGGAGCACTTGCCGCAGCCGCCACGGTTCGGACCTTCCCTCGCAGAAGGCTTCTGCTGGTCGAAGTGGTGGCTGCGCGCTCGCTCGCCCATTCGGCTGCTGCAGCAGCAGCAGCATGGCTTATGGTAATTGTTACCGAAGAAGACAGAGCACCGCCTGCAGAAGGGGCCTACGCTGATCGTTTTGAGATATTAACTGATTGGTCTGGCTGATCAAGCCCGCCGCCGTCGCCGCCTCCTTTTCCACCAGTCGATTCTTCATAAGGTCGTCGACGACGACGACGCCGCCGTCGTCGCTTCTGCTGATGATGACGCCGGTAGCCACCGCGATTTTCCGAAAAAGCTCCGGATGCTTCCTAGCAATTGCCCTCTGAGCTCTCCTGCTATCTCGATTGTTGGAATCGGTGAAAAAGCTTGAGAAACATTCGACTCGATCGGGAGCTCTGAGCCAGCGACGGAGGGAAGGTCGGACCCTGCACGAGATCGTGATCAGTAAAGCGGCTTTTGACGCCTTTCGTGTCCGTCCGGTTGTCCGCTGGTCTTCTATCTATCCGTCCCTCCGTCCAGCAGAAACAAATGCCGAGTGTCGTGTGCACACGCCGCTGCTCTCACGAGTCGTGTATCTCACGGCGAGCTGCGACGTACGATTCTACGCTTACCGATAGATTATCAGGTGCTAAGAGCGGTGTGATCGGGCCGTGTAATCAACCGCCACCTTGCCGGGCTGCCGTTGTACCGGCAGCCGGCCGGGGAGCTACCGATCGAGCGATTTCGAAAAGCGAGCTTCTCTCGCGAAGGCGAGTACAGCTGTTTTCCGTATGATTCTCGATGGATCGAGTGGCTCTTGGTCACGTTTCGGGAAACTTCTGCGACGCGAATTCCGAGCCGGAGAGCTCGGGCCCTCGGTCCCCGCTCGGACGCATGGATTCCGTCTTGTGCTTTGACGAATCGACATCGCTCGTTCCCACAGAGGAATATTGAAAACACGAGTCCTCGTGATGACGCTCGCCAAGCGTCGATAGACCGACCGCTTTCCTCCTGGGCCCTGACGGAGCTGCTAAAGTAGTGATTAAATTTTCTCTCTCAGAGAGGAAAAGACTTACGAAGGGCGTGACGTTGTGCGTGACGCCGGTCATCGCTGAAAAACTAAAGAAGCAACACGTAGAGCGGCGAATGCCAGTCAGTCAGTCAGCCAGCCAGCCTAGCTGCCAGCCAGCGAGAATGAGACGTTGACGTTAGAAGCTAGCGCGGCTGCCGCCACCGCCGCCGCATCGTTGACCGTGAATATTCAAGAGCGAGAAGACAGATTCAACCATTTCCTGGTGGTTCGAGGCGTCAGTCGAATCGAGCCGAGCTCAAACATTCACATAGTGTTGCTCCCGCTAACGTCGGATTGAGTCGTCACCACTCAAGCGTGGGACAGATAGCTCATCGTCACGAGCCAGCTAGCCACGGACTGACAAACCGACGGACGGAGGAACGGAGCGACGGACTGAGCCCGTCGGTCGGTCGCTCAGCCGGCTAGCCGAGCCGGTGAAGCAAGCATCGAACAACGACGGCATCAACATCACAAATCACGATGACTTTTGTCCGACCGCACATATCACCGCGTGCCACTTCACGGACACCGCATTCGTGGAATGAAATCCAGATATAGGGGATCGATAGCTCCGCTACCGCCCTCATGTTGTAGAATGGAATAATAAGGAGACGCCGAAGGAAGCCATGGGACCAGCAGTTCCCGCTCCGGGCGTCATCGGACCTCAGCAAAATTATCGGATTCCCACGGACGTCGCTCCGTATCCTGAACGATTGTCTCGTGGACAGACCAGAAGCGTCGAATTCTGGAAAACTCCCCACATGAGCATCGTCTCAGCTGGTGCTGCTCAGTGGCAACGTCGACACTGGTGACCGGGCTGGGGTATGCCGGTTCTCCAGGGCGTCAGTTCGCCGAGAACTCGGGCTTTGAGTGGATGGACGATCGGACGGGGAAATCACGAACGAATTCCGGTCGAGAACCGGGAGATGTCGGTCCCGGGTGCCCTCCAGAAAAACCCGCCCTCTGACTTCTGCTTCCCAGAGCGCTCGGTGTCCCTTGGAGCTCATACATACCTACATACTTTAGGACCGAAAGGAAAACTAGGTAAACGGAAGGACGCTTTGTTTTGTCGGCCGAGAATCGAGACCAGAGTTCTGTCCATCGGTATGGTTCATGAATTTCGTTATTCGACTCAGACCGCCCATCTTCCCGCCCGTTTCCCTGGCTGCTATCGTCTATCTTAGCAGTTTGGCGGCTCGCAAGCTCACTACTTATGATTGCAGAACACGTTCCATCCATGTGAGAGAAAAGCAAGGACACCATGGGAAGCCCCGCACCGGCCGGCCAGACGGCGAGGAGCGACCGGGCACGCACACGGGCGCCGAGTTGCAGATAAACAGATGATAGATACTAGATGGAAAAAGCATGACAGAACGCGTTCAAAATGCTGAAATGAGAGATGTTATCAAGTCGCGTTTGTGAGTAATGAAATCACTCGCTCAGTCGGTTGCTAACCTCGCCGTTGTTCGCCGAGCGAATGCCGACGACCGTCTGCCCTGTGGACAGAAAGGCTTACGGTGGTCCCGTCGACGCCGCCGGCCGGACGGCCGCTTGCTAAATGCTATCTTTCTTTCCCATCTCGACGTAAGGGAGGACCGAACGAGTGAGTGCGGTGCCCGGCCAACGCCGAGAAGATGATGTGTTGGACAATGTCGGTCGAGGGGTGTTTGTCCGGCTCGGTGGATGAGTGTGCGAGTAGAATGAAGGAACGGCTTCGACCCCTACCACGAAAAGATACGACGACGACGACGACGACGACGACGATACGAAGCTCGGAGGAAAAACTCAGTGGAGGCATAAGATGGAGCAGACGCTAATCAAGGGTCCGGAACGTGAGGTGGAGGTGCGGACCCGGGCCCGCCGATGGGGAGAGAGGGCGCGCTTCACCAGGGACACGGGATTGAGGCAAGCAGTACGCGCTCGTCCGCTCGGTGGGTCAGTCGGTGGGTCAGTCGGTGGGTCGGTCGGTCGGTCGGTCAGAGAGCCGGGGTCGGGGAAGGCGCTCGGTGCCGGCCGCGACCCTGTCAATAATTTACACTTCATATGCACGGAGACCGCCAACTCTCGCTTAGCGATCTCTGGAGCGAAACAGAGCCGCGAGTGGCTGCTGCCGAACGCTTTGGCGGGTCTGTGGCGGCGGCGGCGGCGGCCGCGTGCCCGTCCCCCCGCCCATCGGAGTCCGCTGTATAGTCGTCATATGGAATGACATGCATTTTCTCTACGGCCGGGTGTGGTTCTTCCTCAGGTGCTCCGGCTTGTAGACATGGAGCAGAGCGGGAGCTCCGGCTCTCGAGGCCGTCGCACGCACACTCACACAATCACGCACACCCTCACGTATCGAAGACGGCGGCGGCGAAAGTCAGGCTCGCTGCTCGGAGCCCATGGCCGGCCGGCCGGCCACCATGGCTCACATTAAACGCGATAAGCCAAAACGTTCCCGGGGCATGTCCGCCTGCCGGATGGATCGCCCGGCCGGCAGAACGATGACGGTGGCAACGATGAGCTAACCCGTGAGATCGCATGAGCGAACGCATTGAGCCACGAGACCGGCCCGCTGGCCGAAAGATGATCGCTACCTTCACACTTACTTACCCCCGGTCAAGCCGCGGGCTCGCACACTCATCTCCGCTCAAGGCTGCTCGTTAGCGGTCAACGTTGAATTTTCAAAGAGCTCTATTTTATTTCACTTAACGACACCGTCTCCGCCAATCAGAGCCCACGGCGACCGAGCTATCCGACGGACAATCTCCATGAATACTCGACGAGAGCGAAATGTTGCTCTCGTCGTGAATCGTGAGCTCGCTCATCTCGTCCCGTTCGCACTGAGGCCGGCGGCCAACCTACAATTTGGCAACCTGCCGAAATGTCGGTGGAGCCGCGGTGCCACGAGCGAATTCGAACCCCCACCCACAGCCCTGTATCTCGTTGGCAAACATCTTGCGGAAGGCGTTCGCCCAACGGCCGTGGAGTCGCTTCTGATTCGAGCCATCCGAAATCTGCAAAGGGACGTCCGACCGGTCTTCTCGAATCATCGAAATTCGTTCAGGCCAGGATGCTGACGGTTTTTCGGGGGGGCGACGGCGGCTTCGGACCCGCCAGCTGATTTGGTCGAGCTGGGTTTCCATGATCCTGCCTGGAATGACGGGATTCCCCTCTTGGTTTCTGTCGGTGAAAAACTTTTCGCTATCCTCTGGCTGATCTATGTTCATAGGCTGGCTACGGAATTTCACCACGTCCCATCACCACCTTATCTCATACTCCGCGAGGGAGCTCGCTGAGCCGACGGAAAAAACGCTCTCTCTCGAGGGTGCTCCCCTACTCCTCGGTCGCCCATCGGTGCTCCTGAATCGGAGGATGCCCTTCCGTCAGGGCGTACCGCGGAAGAGTACGGTAATTGCCTAGAAAATAGAGCCACAGGCACGAAATGGAGAGGAAACGGCCAGGTTCTAGCGGCGAGTGAACGCTAGCTCGGGGAAACGTGGGCTTAAGGGAGAGCGTTCGACAGGCAGACGGGCAGGGAAGAAACGCAAGGAAAAGAAGCAAGAAAGAACGCTTCTTGGTTGGCCATGCTGAAGATTGATTGAAGTCTCGCCTTATAAATGTAGCTTAGGCAGAAATGCTGTATTCGATCATTGCAGCCTGCTGCTGGCCCATTCACTTTGAATGGATGGTGGCGGTTGCGTCGGCAAGCGAGCCGACGGGGCGGCAGGCCGGCCAGCCGGACGACGAGGGCCACGGTTCAGGCTTCACGAGCAGAGGCTGCCTGGCTGACTGAAACGACAAGGGTAAGCCAGACTCAGGCAGGCAGGGAAGCGGGCGAGCGTCCAAGCAGACTTCATGCCTCGAGATCACGGAATCACCGGAAGGAAGTGGCATCGGATCGAGCGCGGGCGGCGCCGGCGCGCCGAGATCTGAAACCACAACGTTCCCTGATTACCTCGGTGGCGCTGAGACGCGTCATTCACCGGTTGGTGGCGGCGGCGGGGACGACGACGCCAATGGGGACGGAGACCTTCGACAAGAGTCACGTCCTCAGAGGCAGAGGAAAAAAAAAGAATGAAAAAGGTCCCCGAGCCGAGATCATCTGACTCGGGGCTCGTGCTTCCCGGAGGATATGCCTCCAAGTGTTGCTTCGGATCCTGCGGTTCCGAAACTTCAAAAGCGAGAGCCTCGTTCGCTACGAGTGAACGTCACGCTCACTTATCTTCTCCTCGGTGCTTTTGAGTAGCGGAAGCGAAATTCGCGCTCTCCACGCTGACAGTTTACGCTATACAAAAATCAGCAGCGATTGTAAACTCGAAACCAATGGCGAACCGAGAATCCCGTCGACTCCATCAAACTTTATTGCAGGACCCCGAATGATTCGGGTTATTCATCTCAAACGCGGAAGAGCTAATTCATCGAGCCATGCCTGACGTCAGTTTGAGTTTTTCGACGGGACGATCTAACCAATTCTCTCCTTGTTGCAGACGGGCCCATCTGAGAAATTGTTTGGAAAAGTTGAAGGAAATCGTACCTGTCGGCCCTGAATCCAGCCGGCACACGACTCTGGGCCTACTGACCAAGGCCAAATCTTATATCAAGGTGAGTGCAGTTGATTGGAATGCCATTTGTTGCCAGTGGGTTCAGGGAACGGAGGCCACTCGAGAAACGCACAATCGTTGTTTTCGGTGCGGCTCTTCCAGCGCTCGCTCCCTCGGTCCGCCCTCTCCTTATACCTTCCGCTCCCTTGAAGCTGGACGCTTTTCCACCGACGGCGTTCGAGCAAACTCGATAGCGAACGACCGGACCGGAGAGTAGTAGGCAACGTAGATCACGCTTGATAAGATCGCCGAGAGGGAAAGACGAAGTCGGAGGATTGCGAGTGGGATGCGCTCCGAATGCCCCAACTGCTCTCGAGAGCCGCTCACTCAGAGGTGGCCGCCGCACAAGTAGCAGCAACAGCGGCAGAAGCAGCAGCAGCAGTCGGCGTACCTGGCTCATCGTTCGCGGGAGGAGGCTTTTCACCGAAGGCTCGAGAACGATGGTAAACTCAGCAGCCAGCACGTCTCCCCGATGGATATCCGGAAGCGGAAGTGAGGACTACGCTTTCGGAAATTCGCTTTAGTAAGCGATACTACGCTGAGTTCACAAGCACGACGACCCACGTGGAATCATTCGACCGAACGGATCAACTGAGTGGATGATCGAGTCGATGCGCTTTGTCCGGCGCAGACCGAGTAAACATCGCCCCTATCTATAGACTTGGCAGAAAAGGTACGGAAGTTAACGCTCAAGGTGATGCTCCTTCGCAGAAAATCGTCGTCCCTCGGAAGGATACGACGACATTCCACATTATCACGGTCTTTTTCCCGGGCTTCAAAATATCTCGGGACGGGGGCCGGTCTCGCATTCCGTCCCTGGCTTGCCGCATCCCGCATTGCCGCATCTGGGCTGTCTTGTCTCCGTGCCAATGAGCGTTCCCGGCTCCGAAATAATTTTTTGAATACGGCAGCGTCGATACTGTTTCCTGAGATCGGCATAATCGAAAGCTTTGCTCTTTCTCTCTCGCTCTCTCGGCAGATTGAGCGGCCTGCCGCACACCGTACGTTCAACGGAGGGACTGCACACACGGGAAGATGCGGCAAACACCCCCGACGGAAGCCTTGCCCCTTTCTCGTTTACTTCGCGTTTGCACGATGACATGGGAGAAGGGAATGCGGTCTGGAATCGCTAAGCCGACGGCAATCGTTCAGTATGAGGCAGATCCACGCTAGACCTGACTGCCCAGGTCCCTCTAATCATTAGCTATCTCTCCCTAGAACGTACGACGAAGCACCGGCGGGAAGCGCTCGCTCTTGTCTCGACGTTTCACGGACGCATGACAAAGCCCGAGTCGGTCTCCTTCGAGATTCAGTTTTTGAATTAATGAATCTCCTTCCGCCGAGTCGGATGCTCCCCGCGTCGATTCCACCGTCGGTCGTCGCTTAGCCAATGGCAGGCTTTCTCAATGACTGAGCACGTCAAGGAAACCATCATCATCGCTGAAGTGACTGCGCGATCTGCTTAGCGGTGATAATCAAAGCTTCGCACGTTCGGTTCCTGATGGATCCTCACGAGCACCCTCGCGTTCTCGATATTCGAAATACCGTCGCACACTCAATGGAGGGAAACCACGGTCTCCGACTAACTCAGTTGTTCATTTCCGGTTCGACGGTTGATTCTGTCGGGAGTATCCGAGACATCCGGACGCAAAAAGTTGCTGACCGAGGCTGATTATTATTTTGGAAGCCGATGGAGGTGGAAAGAACTTTTCGAGACTTCCGATGAAGTTCGTTCCTCTTTTGTGCGCCGCGTCGCCGCTCAAATTGAAATTCAAGAGCAGTGTGCGGAGTCAGAACGGGTTTTCGTGCGGAACTCGCTGCATGCTGATGGGCCGGCCGAGTTGTTCGCTCGCTCCCTCGATATCGGTGTATGATAGCCGTCAAGCAACTCTTGACTCCGTTCCGAAGCATTGACAGCGTTTACTCGTCTCCGCTCATTTCGCTCCGTGATCGAATGACGTGTCCTGTTTAGCGAGACAGCAGCGATGGTGGCGGCGGCGTTCTCTTGCGTTGTCGAGCACTCTTATGTATTATAGAAGACGCGGCAGATTGCTGAATGATCTCGCCCGCCCTCGCTCTGCTCGGTTGGCTACCATGCGGTGGCGGCGGCGGCGGCGGCGGCGGGAATAATACGGCTAAGGAGAAGGCAACGATGACAACAATGAGAATGCCGGCGGCGGCGGCGACGAGAGGGCAGACGAGTACAGCAGGAGCTGTTGAGCGGGAAAAGGACTCTTATTAAAAAAGACGTCGCATCGAATTAGACTACCGACGGCACAGTGCCTGCAAGCCAGCTCGCTCGCTCGACGGCCGGTCAGCCAGCCAGCCAGCCAGCCAGCCAGCCAGCCAGCCAGCCAGCCAGCCAGCAAGTCGCTCGGTCGCCGAGCTGCCGAAGGAGCTAGGAATACCGACGCGCAAATATTGCAACCCGACACTCTAGCCAGTCCCGCGAGCTTCTCACCAGTTGAAGAGACCGAGAGCTGTTTCCTGGGGGATTAGAGAACTTTCGAAGAGAACCGACGACGACGACGAGGACGTTGGCGACGATGGCAACGACTAGCAAGAAGCTCAAGAAGTACTTGAGTGGAAATTCGATACGACCAGCAGCGGCTGAGTCGACGGTGGCATCGAGTAGGCGCCGCCGCCACCACCACCGCCGCCAAGGGGTACGTTCCCCTCACTGTAGTCCGTGAAGCGCTCGAGGTCTTTAGCCGGGGAGAGGCGAAGGGGTAACGGGAGCACAACTGGAGAGGAAGGAGCCCAAACTATGGAAATAGGGTCGGAAGTACGGCGGGAAGGAAATCATAAAAAAGTCAGACCGAAGTGAACAAAGAGCTCGATCGAAAGCACGACGGCGAGCCTCGTGGAGAAAGCGAACAAAGATTCGGGGGAATTTCTTCCTCTGCATGGGAATCATGAAAAAATTTTGTTTCACGCAAGGAACCTGAGCTTTCCGTCTCATTGACCTGACCGACTCTGGATTGTGAGCCGAGCGAGGGCGTCGACAACGAACCGTCGGAAGGGTCATTCGATCCGAAACTGACGGTGAGCATTATTCCGTCTACTGGTTCCATCCACCTGCGCCGAAGAGGTTACCATCAGGCAATGCTCTTTCTCCCTCGGCCGACGGTGGACTTGGGGAAGCCTTCTTGGTTTTCTCAACGCCGAGTACGCCAACTTCGGGAGCAGCAGCGGCGTCGAATACGTCGAACGAAACCAGGCCCGAACGCTAACTCAATAAACTCGTCTCTAATTAGGACAGGAGCGAAGAGAAACGAAGCTATCCCACTGATGAGCTGGACGCGCTACCTGCGGCTCGGCGGCTGCTGGTCACACCGCGCCTCCACCGACCAGCTACCCTTGAATTTCGTATTGATCTCAATACGCGAAGCTCGTCCGATTGCTTAACCGCTCCGCTAACTAACGAATTGATCAAGCGACCGATACGCGAGCCAACGAGACCGCCGAGTCGCTCTGTTGAGCCACCGACCCGGGTCCTGAGCCCCGAGACAAGCTGGACGACCGTTCGTTACAGAAACGTCCGGAGGTGGAACTCGCCACTGGATGCTCGGCGAACCGCTGACGTCGTTCTCGAGCGCCGCCAGTCGGTCGAGGGAATGAGCAAGCAACTCGTCATTAATGAGTTGATTGAGATAATGACTCGGAACGTTTTCTTCATTAGCGAGGCATTCCTTATATGCTTCCATTCTTTTTCCCCGGTAGGCGGTGCACGTTGTATCCGTCGCGAGCACGCGAGCCGGTCACTTGCGCCGAGAGAGTTCCAGGAGAGGTCTGCAAGCGATTCCAATCGAGCCATAGCCGGCTTTTCGGTCTCTCCCGCGAACTGCCGAGAAGTCGCTTCCACAATTCATTCGGAATCCTAGCGTTGGGCATGACGGGAACGAGCGAGAACGTGGGCTCGAAGAAGTTTTCGAATCGGAATCACGGGTGGGACGTCGGGCAGTCGAGAACCCGAGCTGGCTTGTGGGCGAGGCGGGTGTCGGACAACAACAGATGCCGAATCGGAGAACAGGCCAAACATCCAGACGGCTGAGCGAAACTTCGCTGAAATTAGATCTAGACTTCCGTGCCGCACGGAGCTCATATCTTGGATTACTTAGACACTCGAAATAGGAACGAGACGCCATGCTGCCCGAGTCGTCCAGCAACCAGTCAAACATCAGGCAGGCGGGCGAACGGGCGGGCACTCGACCACCCAACCGAGCGGACGGACGAACCGGCGAACGGACGCCGGGCATCTCCGACATCGTACATCAGATCAACACCGGGACCGAGCGAATGAGAGGGAAAACCAACGAGAGGAGGTTCGGGCTCAAGAAAGCTCGGACGATCTACTTCGTTGACTCTTGATGATTTCGCGCACGCATCCTCAACTATATGTCCACGACGAAGGATGACTTCTTCCTTCGCCATCGAGCACGTTCCATTCGAGCCGCGGGACACGAGCAACAGTTCTATGTGACGATATATTTCCACGGATAAAATATGACGGGCGACCGCTACCTACCGGCCGCAGGAACGGCTGGCGAGCCGCTGGCAAATGCGGAGCCTCCTGCCGCCGTCTAGCCGTCCTCTCGGTGTCGCTGTACGGGGCCGCAACCGTACACAGATACAGACGTACAGCTATCTATATATTATGAGAAGCGGGGGAGGAGAAGAAAAGGTTTTGACGTTCTGAGAGCTTGCGGTCCCGCCGACCTTTCGGCGACTTGGCGTCGCCGTTCTTCGCTCGACCGACGTCCCGAGGAGCAAAGCATTCAGGAGCCAAAAATCGGCATGGTGGCACCGAAGCGAGCCGCGGGGACAGGGGAGATTTTGTGGACATCGCGAAGAAAGCACCGAGAAGGAGATCACAAGCGCTTTCGCACTGAAACGCTCGTTCCTCCATCCGTGCCCGAGACTTATCGCTTGCTATTTCTTTGAGGAAGCGATTGTCGTTTCTTCGGGATTCGATGACCGGAGGTGAAGAACAAGGCCGAC